TGTATATTGTTAGAAAAGATTTCTATTTTAAATAAATGCTGTTCTTTTTAACTTTTTATTCATCAAAGAATCCTGAAAAAAAGTATCACAGTTTCCCAAAAACATATTGTGCAGCACAACAGTTAATAATTCTAATAATAAATCATCATATTATACTGATTTCTGAAGATCATGTGACACTGAAGACTGGAGGAATGATGCTGAAAATACAGCTGCGCATCACAGAAATACATTACAGTTTAACAGAGATTCACATAGAAAACCATTATTTTAAATCATAATATTTCACAATACTAAATTTTTGATCAAGTAAATGCAGCAGTGATGAGCAGAAGAAACTCCTGTAAAAACATAAAAAATCGTTCCCAAACGTTTGATATATAATTTGAGAGGTAGTGTATAATCTGGCTCAGAGCTGAATCTCTGCTGATCTAGCGAGAATACAAAACTTCCTCACCGCATGAATGCTATGAAATGCATCATATTTAGTGAGAAAGTGTGACGTGGAAGAGCAGAACAGACTCTATTTTTATATCCAACTGTTGGGATCCGCACATATGATGCAGTGTGGTGATATTAGTTCTGTGTAAGTGTGTTGTTGTTTCAGTGATGATCTCGTGACGCTGTGTGTGTTGGCAGTGTGTGCGAACTCGAGCGAGGCGCATGTTAAGGATCTGTGTAGGACCGGTGTGTGGTTGACGCCGGTGCTGCAGGCCATCTATCTGTTCGTGCAGTACATACTGATGGTGAACCTGCTCATCGCCTTCTTCAAGTGAGTGTCGCGCCGCTGTGTGTCTGTGAGAGTCTCCACCGTAACTGAGCGTGCCGTTTCTCCGCAGTAACGTCTACATGCAGGTGAAGTCCATATCCAACCTGGTGTGGAAATACCAGCGCTATCACTTCGTCATGGCATACCACGACAAGCCGGTGCTTCCGCCGCCGCTGATTCTGCTCAGCCACGCCACGTCTGTGCTGTCCTCCATCTGCAGGAAGAGGAAGAAGGACAGCAGCGCCTACGGACCAAGTAACGCACCTCTCGCTCGCGCCGCCGCTTCTGCTCGCGTCTGTCAGCGCTCTTCCTGTGTGTGTGTGTGTGTGTGAGAGAGAGTGTGTGTGGTGTGTGTGTGTGTGAGAGAGTCTGTGTGTGTGTGTACGCACCTCTTGCTCGCGCCGCCGCTTCTGCTCGTGTCTGTCAGCGCTCTGACTGTCCTGCTGTTTTTCAGAGCTCTTCCTGACCGAGGAGGACCAGAAGAAGCTGCACGACTTCGAGGAGCAGTGCGTGGAGACGTACTTCCACGAGAAAGACGATCAGTTTCACTCTGGGAGTGAAGAGAGAATCAGACTCACGTCCGACAGGTACGATGATGAACGGCATGCTCATGCATCAGAATCCACAACACACACAAAAAGCCTGCATTTAATAAAATATTGAGATCTGAGAGTGAGATTTACAGATCATTTACTGGGGAAAACATCTGTCACGTGTTTTTCTTTTACTGTCAGACTCTTTTCTCTTTCAGCATCATCAATGAAATGAGTCTCTCTGTGACCCTGGAGCACAAAACCAGTCATAAGGGTCAATTTTTCTAAATTGATATGTATGCAATAAATAATCTTTCCATTGATGTATGGTTTGTTAGGATCGGACAATATTTGAAAATCTGGAATCTGAGGGTGCAAAAAAATCTAAATATTGAGAAAATCATCTTTAAAGTTGTTCAAATGAAGTTCTTAGCAATGCATATTACTAATCAAACATTAAGTTTTGATATATTTACGGTAGGACATTTACAAAATATCTTCATGGAACATGATCTTTACTTAATATCCTAATGATTTTTGGCATAAAAGAGAAATGTATAATTGTGACCCATACAATGTATTGTTGGCTATTGCTACAAATATCCGACTTAACACTGCTTTTGTGCTGCAGGGACACATCAGACGCATTCATGGCTGGTAGATTTGCTCAGTTCACTCACCTTTAGCTGGTGCACGTTTTAACGACTTTTACTACATTCTTTTTGTTGACATCTGAGGGATCGCTTGATCCATGAGCGTGTTTACATGAAATCAAACATTACAGATCCCCAAACAGTAGGTCACGGGTTTGATTCCCAGGGAACGCATGAACTGAAAAAGCTTGAATGCAACGTTAGTCTCATTTGGATGAAAGTGTCTACCAAATGCATAAAGGTGAAATAAAGCCTCTGGAACTGTGATTATCTTCTGTAAAGCTGCTTTGAAACGGTATGCATTGTGAAAAGCGCTATATAAATAAATGAGAATTGATTGTGTTTACCTGTGTTTGTTTTTTAGGGTGGAAACGATGTGTGTGCAGCTGAAGGAGGTCGGAAACAAGGTGAACTTCATCAAGCGCTCTCTGCACACGCTGGATTCTCAAATCGGACACCTGCAGGATCTCTCGGCGCTCACGGTGGACACGCTAAAGGCGCTGACCGCGCAGCGAGCGTCCGAGGCTAGCAAAGTGCACAACCAGATCACACGCGAGCTCAGCCTCTCCAAGAACCTGGGGCCCGACGTGACGGGGCACTCGAGTGCTCTGGTGCGGTGCAGCGTGGGATTCCTGCCTCCCGCCGCCAGCATAGCAGAGTCTCTGTTCGGGGGCGGAGCTGGAGGCGGAGCTGAGGAGCAGCAGGGGGCGGAGCTTCCTCAGAGCCCCGAGACACGCCCTCTGTTCACGGCCGAGGCTGGATCCTCCGGCTGCACCTTACCTCAGTCGCTCAGACACTCACCGCAGCTGCGGCGCCGCGGACGCTCCGTGCTCCAGGACACGGGTCCTAGAAGCCTCGCCACGTTCTTCGTCAGCACACCGTCGCAGCTCACCGTTTCGCAGACGCACACGGAGCCGGCGCATGTCGCAGTGGAGTTCGGGGCCTTCGTGGGTGAGTATGAGGAGGGTGTTTATGGGACGAGTGATGGAGGCCCCTCAGGGGCGGTCGTGTGTGAGGGATACGTCAATCACGCCTTCACTGATGATGAAGACGATAGACCCGCCCCCGACCCGCCTGACAGAAACACGCCCCTCCCGGGCCTTCCTCTGGCCCCTGAGCACCAGCCCCGGGGCCCCCGGCGCATCCGGAGAGACGGTCGCTTCAGACGTGCGCTGAACATACTCACACAGAGAAGCGGAGGTTTGGCTGGGAATCGGGGAACCCCACCCTAACTGTGACCTTTGACCCTCACCCCGTCTGCATGCCCCTGTGTGTGTTAGAGCGGGTGAGACGGGTGACCTCTGGCGGTGGTTTCATCTCAACCGCTCTCTTCTTACTAAATGAACAAAGTGCTGTCGTGTCTTTTGTGTGTGTGTGTGTGTGTGAGATCGCAGTCAACTAAACTAACCCGGGCTGGTGCTGGTTAGGGTTTTGGTTAGTGACGGGTTATTAAAGCTGATTGGAGGGGAAACATTTAACACGGTGGCTGTAATGAACTGATGACTGTGCTTAAACAAGCGTGGTTCGGTCTTTGAACTCATTTTCCCGTTTTAGGTCACAAGGATGATCCTGAGGGTCAGAGGTCGTTTCCTAAAGAGGGTGCTGTCAGCAGCCGCCAGTCGAGTCCCTCCAGAAAGACTCGGGATGTGGTGAGTGTAGTATGTTAAAGATGTGGTGATTGTTCTGTGCGGCTCGATCCGGATGTGTTATGTGTGTCTGCAGGCGGCTGTGGCGCAGGGTCACATGCGGACGGTGAACTCGTACGCTGGTTTCACAGAGTTCGACAGAAACCCTACGTTCCTGCATCCAGAGTCCAGTGAGTGTAAACAGCAGCGTTGCACAACACAAGACACTTTAAACATGAACCCCGATTCATCCTGAGCACAATTACACACACCTTTCTTTCTTTCACCTTTTGTGTGTGTTTCAGCACTCGGTAAGCAGGAGAGGACGCGTGTGTCGTTGGAGGACGTCTCGTGTTATGAGGATCTGCTGCTGGTCAGTCAAACACACAACAACACAAGCAGAGTGTTTACGAGAAACGACATTCACACACGCACGTAACTCTGTCTGTCTTTCGTTCTCAGGGGAAATCAGCTCAGTCCAGCAAACTGTGAGTAACTGTGTGTGTGTGTGTGGAATGTTTTGACCACAAATAAAGTGATTGTGTTTTCATCAGGAACACAGTAATACCGTGGTATGTTGTGTGTTGTTCTGCTGATTCTTTGCTCTGTGTGTCTGTGGAGCAGCGATCGTTTCTCCGTTCAAGCCCATGGAGAGTTATCAGTATTCAGGTAAGTGTTTCTGTCACTCCGTCCAACTAAAGCATAAACGTGTCCTGATTTAAACCCAACCCACGACGCCTCGCTCAAACACAGACTGTCCTGAGAGCATCTGAATGTGTCATATAGCGGGCCGAGGCTCTGTGGTGTGGGTTTGAAGCAGGCGTGTGACGTGTACTGACATCAGCCCTGTGTGTGTGTGTGTGTGTGTGTGTGTGTGTCAGCGGTGGAGCGTAATAACCTGATGCGGTTGTCTCAGAGTATTCCATTCACCCCAGTGCCCCCTAGAGGTAAGACACAGCGCTGCCCTCCTGTCTCTCTCTGTCCCATCAGGCTTTGCTGTTTATCATGTAGTTCTGGGCGGCGTGACGGTAGAATGTGTTTCACAGTAAATATAAGCGATTTATTTTTACATGTGAGAGGAGAAACATGGAGTGATGTGAAAATACATTACAGGCAAATGTGAAGATTGTCTTTTGCACTGATTTGATATGAATCAGCTGATCTTTTGCTTTGTGTGCATCAAATTCCAAATAAACCGAGAACATCATTAAATCAGTTGAAGCACCTTTTGTTTGTAAAAGACAGAATTCAGTCAGAACTTTAGCGTGACGCAGAAATGTTTGGTGATATTGTGTGTTTGCGAGGTCAGACGCGTGTTTATGCGTGTCGTTCTCATGTTTGCGTGTCGTACAGGTGAGCCGGTGACCGTGTACCGTCTGGAGGAGAGCTCTCCCAACACCATCAACAACAGCATGTCGTCGTGGACTCAGCGCGGTCTCTGTGCTAAGATCGAGTTCCTCAGTAAAGAGGAGATGGGTGGAGGCCTGCGGCGGGCGCTGAAGGTGCTCTGCACCTGGTCCGAGTATGACATGCTGAAGCCTGGACACCTGTACATCGTCAAGTCCTTCCTACCTGAGGTGGTCAACACCTGGCAGAGCATTTACAGAGAGGACACAGTCCTGCACCTCTGTCTCAGGGTACGATCACACACCGGATGTTCTCCAGCTGTTCCTCATTACTCACCCAAACACAGAGTCACAAGAGTTTATAATAACAGCTCCAGTGCTGTGAAACAGTGACCGATCTTTTCTTCCATATTGACACTTTTGAGTAACAGGTGAGGGCGGGGCTTGATTCTATCCACCGGTTGTTGATTGGATATTGAGATGTGGGTGTGGCTCTCAAAAATTGTGAGCTGCAGGGGCGGAGCTTAAGAACACTAAATGACTGGAGAAGATCCGGTTTTGACATTTTGATTAAAAATGACGAGATCAAAATTTTTAAAGGGGTCATGAAATGCATTTTTTAAATGATTTTATAATGTTTCCATATAATCTAGTCAGATATATATCTTTTTTTTCATCAAAAATGGTCATAGTTCAGATGTAAATGGTAATTTTTTAATTCTGAACTTAGCGTCTGATCGTTGGAAGGGGCGTGTCTGTCAGGGGAAACATCTTCGCATATGAAATGAGCATTACATGTGCAACTCTCTCAAAAACTTTTACTGCATTTTTACTGCACACACACACACACACACACAGTGGAGGGTGTTGCTGAGACCGGAGTGTGTCTCTGCAGGTTTCTGGAGGTGTTCCTGCTCTACTGTCACTCTGCCGGTCAGTGGTTTGCCATCGAGGAGTGCATCACTGGAGACTTCCGCAAGTTTAATAACAACAACGGGGATGAAATCGTCCCGACCAACCTTCTGGAAGAAACCATGCTGGCCTTCAGCCACTGGACGTATGAATACACGCGAGGAGAGCTGCTGGTGCTGGATCTGCAGGGTTTGTGTCTCACTCAGATCTCTTCATCTGCATTCCAGCAGTCAGTGCTTTAGCTTCTGGGGTAGTTCACCCAAAAATGAATGTCAGTCCCTATCCACTGCCTGTATAGACGAGCGCAAGCAGGACATTTCTCAAAATGTATCTTTTTGTGGTCTGAAAAATAAAGAAGGGCATATGGAATTAGAACAACACCAGGGTGTGTAAATGATGCCTGGACTTCCATTCTTGGGTGAACTATCCATACTGTAGCAACACTTTACCATTGCAGCTGTGTCTGTAAACTTGTGTTTGTTTTACAGAGAGTTTAAATGATGGTCTGTATGTGGTGATTCTCTCTCTCGCTCTCTCTCAATTTTTTTTCAATTCATATTGCTTTATTGGCATGACATACTACAATTGGTGGCTGACTAAATACTTTTTTTCCCCACTGTAATGTGCTACCAAAGAGGAAGTAGGTCCTTCAACAAGTAATATTCTTAATTTGTGGTTTTCATGGAGCGACTGGAACTCAGGAATGCTTTGCTGTATTTGACTGTACAGTGAGGCTCTTAAAGAGCAGGTCATATGGGTTTTTGAAAAATATCTCTTGCATTTTATAACGTAGCTATCTTTAAATGAAAACAATCTGCAAAGTTGTTAATCAAAAAAGTGCATGATAAAGATATTGTCTCTCAAAAGTCGAATCTTTTGCCTGTTACCGGTATACGTCACTGGGTAACACATTTGCATAAGCCCCGCCTGCCCGCTAACACTTCCGCTGGTTAGTGTGTGTACATCATGTTGAGAAGACGCTGTGTTCAAGGATACCACAGAAACACAATTCCAACCTTTTGTTGTGTGCATGTCATTTTACGAGGACTGCTTCTCTAATCTTCGTCGGCTTCTAATCTTCTTTATTTGGACTAGCAAGCTCTCCGAAGCACAACCTGTAAGTACGATTGATATGTTATGTGTACATTTTCAATTGAGTGCTCAAAATATCAAGTTTTTGTGCTAATATGTGATGTACACCTAGTGCAGCTTTAGGTTTCCAGGTAAAGCACGGTATTACTGTCTTACTGAAGTAGTTCTGATAATTCGCAGTGAACCCACTATTTCCTAAGAATGTGTCGATTAATGTAGACTGACCTTATTCTAATAATTACTTCGTTTAATAATAAAGAATGGAGTGTAGCGCACAGACTTTATAATCGTAGTGAAACTGCTGTTTATTTTGCTGCACGGCAGTTCTAGTGTTAAGACAGAGCGTCTTTAGTCTGTCGTTCTTCAGACATTACAGTAGACATATTTTGGTTTTCAAACTGTATGGTTTCATCAGTTAGTCACGTTAGCACCCGGCTAACGTATCCACCGTTATTGTTTTAAGTGTTCACAGTTTAGCAGCTAATCTTTAGCTGTGGGCACGATTCGCTTGCATAAGTGTTTTCTGTATTTTATGTCATTATTATAAGAACAGATTGGAGCACTATATTACTCCTCTCTGCCAATCACAGCAGGCTTGGCCAGCTGACCAATCAGAGCAGAGTAGGCTTCTGGAAGGGAGGGGTTTGCTCCGAACGAATCGTTTAGAAATCAATGGAATATGACTCTAATATTAAATGTATATTCTGAGAAAATTACAATGTTTTCTGACCTTAGATGCATTTAAACCTGCTGTAGGGGAGTGTAACACAATATTAGTATGCTTTATGGCTACACAACTATATGGCTCCGCGTTATCGTCCGGGCAGAACTATTGTTCCAGCCACCAAAGACAGATTCACAAATAACCTGCCTGATTTATCTCAACTGCTCTGTGTACCAATAAATACACATGAACTAGACGAAATAACTAGCAACATGGGCACTATCTTCTCTAATACATTAGAAGCTGTTGCCCCCATCAAATTGAAAAAGGTTAGAGAAAAACATACTGCGCCATGGTACAACAGTAATACCCATTCTCTCAAGAAAAAAAACTCGTAGTCTTGAGCGCAAATGGAGAAAAACTAACTTGGAAGTTTTTAGAATTGTGTGGAAAAACAGTATGTCCAGCTATAGACAGGCTCTAAAAGCTGCCAGGGCCGAGCATATCCACAAACTCATAGAAAATAACCAAAACAATCCAAGGTTTTTATTTAGCACAGGGGCTAGATTAACAAATAACCAGACGCCACCCGATCTAAATATTCCCGCACAGTTTAATAGTAATGACTTTATGAATTTCTTCACTGATAAAATAGATAACATCAGAAATACAATAACAAATGTAGATTCTAAGGGTGAGAAACACGGATGAAAAACATATTCAGAAAAATAAGATCATAGGCTTCAGTCAGGGTAGCGCTAGGGCTGGGCGATATAACAGTAGCATACATTTAGATCATGATAACCACAGTTAAATACTCACATATAGCACCTCAATACCATGGTAAAAATTATTTGTATAAAAAACAGTAGTCCAAATACATTAGTATAAATGCACAAACGCTCTCGCCATTCCATTACTCCTTTAATGCATGTCTACATTAATAATATAATTCGATATCTCACATTTCTGCCACAATACCGTGCTGCAGTTAGTGTTACTACAGTAAATCATGGTAAATGATGGTGATTTGTGGATTGAAAAGCTTGTCAGTGCTTGACTGTACTGGTGTTTAACAGCATACGATATAATAAGAGTTGATTAGTTTTCTTCTTGTGTGTTTGGTTGCGTCAGGTCTTATGATATGATCTTTGGCCCCGCGAATCTGGGAGACGATGCCATTCGAAACTTCCGCTCCAAGCATCACTGCAACTCGTGCTGCAGAAAACTCAAACTTCCCGGTGAGTGTAGCGATCGCTGAACAGAACGATGCTGAGTTAAAGCGGCTTCAGGCCGTGCTGTCACATCTATAGCATCTATATGTCATTATCAATTGATTTTGTTTTATTTTTGCATTGGAAGTAGAGAATATCAGTAAATGTAATTTTTTAAAGTGACATTTTTATATGATGTAGTTTAGCATTTACTTTAACCCCAAACCCCTCAATCAAGATTTATTTTTGGCCCTTCACTCTGAAAAGTTTAGGCTCTTTGTGTTAGATTGTGATTGATTTGTAAGTGAATTATCTAGTCCTTATCTGGCAGTTTCTGAGGAGTTTAATGTGTGTGTGTGTTTGTGCTCAGATCTGAAGCAGAACGACTACACTCCTGATAAACTCATGCCCTCTGAGGGACCGTCCCATTCACCGCCTGCAGGGGGCGCCACTAAAGAACCGCGTCCCTCAATGCGATTAATGCTGTGAGCCTCACACACACACTCTCACACACACTCACACTCTTCTCTCACACACACACACACTCTCACACACACACCAGCACACACACACTCTCTCACTCACACACACTCACACTTTTCTCTCTCACACACACACACACTCTCACACACACTCACACTCTTCTCTCACACACACACACACTCTCACACACACACACACACACACACACACACCTCACTACATCACACACACACACACAGACACTCACCACACACAGACACACTCACACACACACACACTCACACTCTTCTCTCTCACACACACACTCTCTCTCACACACACACACACACACACACACACACCAGCACACACTCTCTCACACACACACACACACACACACCAGCACACACTCTCTCACACACACACACACACACGCACACATAACTGAAAACGATGATGACACGGTGTGTGTGTGTGTGTAGGACGCAAGCGTGCACGTTTTATATGAATGCGTCGCCTCTGAACAAATAAACAGATGTTTTAATAAGTCACGTTTAATCCTGTACAATTATAACAGGGATTATCAGCTTTTAAAAGTCTTTTATAAAGTTTTTATGTCTGTATAAATTATAAAGTGGTTAATAACTGGTACAATATCACTGTATAGAGTTAAATATTTATTCTAAACTACAGAAAGTTGCCTTGTATAAAATAAAAGCAATTTTACATGTGATGTCTGTCACTTTTGGGAAAGAACTCTTGCTCGTTATACTATTATCAGATTTTGTACAGAGCTGTATGCCAAGAGAATGTGTTTATGTACAGAGCTGTATGAATGCATTTATGGTTCAGACTTCCTATGCGTTTGAATCTCTGGGCAGATTGCAATGCAAGCGATTTCACTGAAAGCGGTCCATGCAGTCAAGACTCCTCTTTATGATGTTACAGCGGTACTCTTGTCCTTTACTGTAGGAGGAGGATCGTGTGAGAGTGTTATTCATCTAGTGTATCTCATAGATACATTTATCTGGCACGATGCTATCAGCTGAAACATGAGAATATTTGATGCTGGGGATACTATATCAATGGATCTGTACACTTTTTTTTTAACTGTATATTTAATAAAACACTGAAAAATCATCTAAAGGTTATCCGTATCTGTTTTCTCTCACTCTGAAATTCTTTGTTTCACTTCACTCAGTGTGTTCCTAATTTGTGGTTTTAATTTAAGTTATTGATCATGTTCTATGCTGTAGTGTTTATTAAATCATACACTGTCAGAATAAACAGGTTGCATTTTATGGGTGCAACTGGCAGCCCCTTGTGAAAATGAACCATGGTTTTACTAAAGTGACCTCAGTTTTAATGTGTTTGTGGAGTAGCTGACCTCAGAGAAGTGCTTCTGCGACCGACGGCGCAAGAGACTTTCCTCAAACGAACAATCAGGTAAGTGACAGAAACTAACCCGAATCCAAGCATCTGCTGTTTCTGGAACCTGCAGCATTTGCTAAAGCGCTGCTGACAACAGTCAGGACACAGAAAAATCTCTTCTGTTTGTATTATTAGAACTTCTCGTGTTATATTACCTCATTAACATTAATAACTTTGTTTTATTCCTCACTTGTAAGTTGATTTGAATTAATTGAATAAATGTTTGTGGTCTTGAAATATGATGTAAATACCATAGTGTGAAAGTAAGAGTCTGAAACTATGGGTACCCCACAGAACTTTTGTTAGCAACATTCAGATGGCTTCATGTGTGCCAGTCATTCAGTCTTCACTGGCTGACCACAAAAAAAGAACATTTCTCACAGAAAATTAAACGTTTCAGGTTGGAAAAATCGTACAAGCACCTGGTCAGGGCCAAAAGACAGAGGTAGCTAGTCTAGATTGTGTCACTGTTATAAGACAACAGAAGGATGAATGAATGTTATTGTTTGTGTGAATCAGATGGCAGGACAGGTCAAGAGGTCAGCGGGTGTCGGCCGAGTCACATCGGTTTGAAGAAGATCTCAAGAAACACCAGAAGACGACATTCACGGTTTCACTCGGAGGACTCTGGACACATTTTCAACAGGTGTAAACACTCATTCACAGACACACGCACACACACAGACACTCTCTCACACACACAGACACTCACTCTCTTACACACACACACACACTCTCACACTCACTCACTCGCTCACACACACACACGCTCACTCACACACACACACAGACACACACTCACTCTCACACACACACACACACACTCTCGACACTCAGACACACACTCACACAGACACTCACTCTCACACACACACTCACACACACACACAGACACTCACTCACTCATACACACACACACACGAACACACACAGACACACTCACACACACTCACTCACTCACACACACAGACACTCACTCACTCACACACACACACACAGACACTCACACACACACACACTCACTCTCACACACACACACGAACACACACAGACACTCACTCACTCATACACACACACACACGAACACACACAGACACACTCACACACACTCACTCACTCACACACACAGACACTCACTCACTCACACACACGAACACACACACACACTCACTCTCTCACACATATAATACATGACTTTCGGCCAGATCTTGTCTAGAGTCACTAGTTGCAGAATCAGAGCCAGGCTTCAGAATAGGGGCGATCGTCACAGAAAATCACATTCTGATCCTGATTTTTAGCTTCAGACTGATTCCATGCAGCTGGAGATCAGACAGGTTTCATATTTTGAGCCGAGTTTAGAACACATTATTTATTCGTCTTGTGTCAGAATAACAAGGTTATTAGCTGAACAGTTACGTTTATTAAAACCAGTGTATCCGCTGGGTGTTTTATTAGCAATGTAACAACTTTACAATATTCTTATTATGTTAATTTTCCAGCTCATCCACCATATTTCTGACCATCAGCAGACAAAGTAATGGTACACATGAACACAGATACCAAGAGAAGCAGAGTTTGATCCGTATCAGGATTTTTACAGATCTTAGCACAGACCAAACCTAGCATTCACAGATATTTATATTTCATAGTTTGTCTCTGTTTACCACTCTGCATGTATATTGCGAATGAGTCAACACACGACAGAGTAAATACAGTCAGACAACTCAAAGCACATGTGTGTTTACATCTGTTTATTTATGCATGTTTAAGGTTTATAGAATACATGGATTTAAAGATTGCGCTTAATATTATAAGAAACCAGGTGAGAGAATCAGTCAGTCCGTGCATCAGAAGCTCATGCACCAGTGAGAGATGCTTGATTCAGAGGAGTATTAGTACAGAGACAGGTGTATGATATGATGGCGTCAGAGCTGCTGCTAATGCTGACTGTAGTGTCACTGATGGGGTTTAATGAGCTAGTTTCAGTCTCAGTGGATGAGGGTTATTGCACTGCTGTGAGTAGCCGATCCCTGAACACTAGCCTACAGAACAGAACAGGGCCCAAGCTGTGTGTAACGCTGGAAGATACTAGTGCGTGTGAACGTCACGACAATGATGAGTGTGTTTGTGAGTGATTTAATGTTAACCATCAGCTGAATCTTCTCATCCGGAGTCTCTGTCGCTTTCGGATCTGGCAGCACAGGTTATATTTGGTCACCGTATAAATAAATAAATGAAACGCATCTCCCTAAGCGGCAGGTGCACGTCTAATGAGCGGTTCGGATTATAGTGCGCTTGTATGGACGTCTAATCTCACACTGTCCGTCTAAATGACATCAAGTCCAGCCGTGAGTTTGGAGACAGCAGGCCGACGCTCCGAGTGAGAGACGAATCTGAGTTCAGGCTCCTACAGGAATACAGAAGCCGCTGAACCACCCACTGAGAGAGAGAGATTGAGAGAGAGAGAGAGAGAGACACTGAGAGAGAGAGAGAGAGCGAGAGATACAGAGAGAGAGAGAGAGAGCGAGAGATACAGAGAGAGAGAGAGAGAGCGAGAGATACAGAGAGAGAGAGAGAGGGAGGGGCGTTCCCTCAGCAGAAGTGTCCATCAGTCCTCATGCAAAGGGCTATAGCTCCGCCCACAGCTGCATGTCACACATGCATCAATCACCCGGTCACCATGGTGACAACCTGTCGCTGACCCTCATAGAGAGGAGTAGAAGAAGATGTAGGCGGCAGCCGAGCGCACGGAGGCAGCGGCGATGTCGGACACCTCATGATCGTCAAACTTGAACCAGCGCTGCTTGAGAGGGTTCTTACAGTAAGCAGTGTAGTGACCGCCATCCAGCCCACCGTAATGATTCTGCAGAGATGAGACGTCACAGATCATGTGTGAGAGAGTGTGTGTGAGAGAGAGAGTGTAAGTGAGTGTGTGAGAGTGAGAGTGAGAGAGTAAGTGAGTGTGTGTGAGAGAGAGAGAGAGAGAGTGAGAGTAAGTGAGTGTGTGTGTGTGTGTGAGTGAGAGAGAGAGAGAGAGAGAGAGTAAGTGAGTGTGTGTGTGTGTGAGTGAGAGAGAGAGAGAGAGAGAGAGTGTGAGTAAGTGAGTGTGTGTGTGTGTGTGTGTGTGTGTGTGAGTGAGAGAGAGAGTGTGAGAGAGTGAGAGAGTGTGTGTGTGTGTGTGAGTGAGAGAGAGAG